TCCCCAGGGGCTCAAACCAGGCCCGACCCAGCAAGCTGACCAGGTCGCCTTCGACCACAATCAAGTCCAACCGGCTCTTGAACTTACCGTATTGCACTCTAAAAGTCCTGACCCCCTTAATCGGCACCTGGTTTCTCTGAAAATCCATGAGCATCACACCTGGGCTGGGCGCAAGCGTGGGCCCCCCTTTGGGCATAAGCGTTTAAGCGTGGCCTCGGAAATAATAGAGGCCGCAGATCCAGAGTCTATCTCCATAAGGCAAGGGGATCCCTCAATTGTTACTGTGGCTAAAATTTTAGGGGTGGGCGATTTGCCGGGGAGTTGCAATACCTTTTCCGCTGTATGTGTGAGGTGCTAGAGGTCCTCGGCCTCTGTGTCGTCTTCGAAGTGGGCTTCCGCTCTGTGACGTGGTGGCTGGGTCCTACTGGAGGCTTTGGAGCGACAGGCTTGGGCGATGTGGCCAGTGCGCCCGCAGTTCCAACAAACAGTGCCTTGAAACCGGCATGCCTTTCTGTCGTGCTGGTCACCGCAACTGGCACACACTGGAGCTGCTGCGCCGTGATGCTGGCGGGCGGAGCTCGTGTTCGCTGCTGGGGTGCGGCGCGGTGCTTGGGTGTGGTGGACCTCTGCGCCGTCGAGGTCTGCCGGCGAGGTGATGGATGCCTGGTGTGTGGCGGAGGCCGCTGGGTGGGACCTCTCCTACGCGGTGGCGATGGCTGACGCTATGGTGACCTTCTCACCCTCCCTTATGCGTTGGCTCAGCTTCTCCTCCCGCAGACCGGTGACGAAATGGTCTCACAGGGCCAGGTCCAAGTGCGCCTCAAATTTGCACTCAGAGGTCAATCGGCAGAGCTCGGCAAGGAACTCCGCCGCAATTTCGCGGCCTTGCTGACTCCGCTGGTGGAACACCACATGGCACGTCATCTCGGAAGGCTTTGGCGTGAAGTGGTTCTGGATTGCCAAAACGATGTCGTCGAAGGTGCAGTCTTCGAGCTTTTTAGGGGAGAGGAAGTACTGGCCCAGTTCGACTATGGCAGGTCCGCATGACCTGAGTAGGAGGCCCTTCTTCCTGGCCTCATCTGTCACCTGATAGAAAATCAGGACTTGCTTCAGGCCGGTGATCCATGCTCCTCATTGTTGTGGATGATTTGATTCAAAGGGCGGTACCAGCCCTGATCCTGGAGCAAGGGCCATTGTGCTGGTCGGTTGCGGCTGCAGCTGGGAAGCGGCTTGCTCGTTGCTCATTGCTTGGAGGAGCGTAGGTAGCGGTGCGTTGTCTTCCCACGCCGAGTCCCAACAGCCCGGCTAGAGTGCTCAGCGGGATCCCACCTTTGTCGCCATTGAAGTGTAGTGGGTTAAACGCATGTAGAAACCACTGAGACCGATGTAGTGATCAGCATGGTTTACTGGTACACAACAAACACAAACGGCCGGCTGGCCAACTATATACACACCTGGGGACACACCCCTAGGTCCTGTTGGTGGGTTTAAATCTCCCGCCACTGTCCCATTGGTCCCTCAGTGGAGAGGCCAGGAGCCTAGTCCCCATTGTTCCTCCAGAGTAAAGCTGTGGAGTGTTCACTGGCTCCTGGTGGCGGTCCACGGACACAACAGTGGCAATAACAACTCCCTTTCTCCTTCTACCCTTCAGGGACCCTGTGCTCTGTGTGAGGCAGGTGTGGGTGCCTGTGGGGTGGACATCTTGAACCCCCTCCCCACTGTCAGGTGCCTAGATCTGCTGACAGGAGTTGGTCCCTAAAGGGGGTAGGTATGTATGCTGCTGACACTACTGTGGCCTGCCTCTCTCCACCACCTGCATGAGATGGACACTGGATTCCACCCCCTGGCCACAGGGCCCCTGATTGGTCCTGGCTTCCCTGTCCATCACAGTGCTACCACCACCACACAATGCCTCCACTGACCGTAGTGGTGTGGTTGCTACGGACACTACCCAGGTTACACTCAGAAAACACTGCAAATTTGTCTGCTGGCCGCTGCATAACTTATCCCTATATGGAATGGACTAACTTATCCCTATAGGGAATGGAGTAGCGCCACCGTGGTTATGCAGCCACTACAGTGCAGACAGAGAACAGGATTGTTTTTGCCATGATGTGGTGTTGTTTGGTGTTAACCGTTTTTAGGACACGTTTTTATTACATATATTTTTAATTTGTTAGCTGCCTTGGTGGTCCTGAATGAGGGCAAAAAGGTGGGGTATAAATATTGTAAATAATAATAACTGTAGTTAAGGTGTACACTTTCAATTCAGCAAGGGGACAATCATTTCATGATTAAATAACTTTGGATGAAATCGTTGCAGAAACTGAATGAATTTACAAAAACCACACTACAGAACTTGTTCCCTCATCTTTAAAATTAGGGTAACAATGTTCTCCTTCCCATTCTTAACTGCAATTTCATCTCCAATTTATTTTGACTATCATTAGATCATCTTTCCATCTCCTAACATTCTACCTAACACAACAATGGCCTGCTTTCAGCTGGCTCACTTTGGTCCCACTGCAATGTAACTTTTCTTTTTCTTTTCAGATTGCAATAAAAAGCTTTTTAACAGGTTAGAGCAGACCAAGACTTCCCCAAGAGGCCAAAAAGAACAACACCAGATTTTCCCAAACAATTTCCCTGCATACATCCAATTTCCTACAATAAGATGGTCCAGCTTAGTGAGGACTAGTTCAACTCGCTAAAGATAGTGTTCACTGTCCTAGCTGTTAGGCGAGAAAATTCAGCCACATCAGCCCACTCCCTCCCCATCCCATGGACACCTGAAGAAGGCCCACCTGAGACTGGCCTGCTCCCCAATCCCAGCGCAGTGAGATCAGGAGCAGTATCTGCCAAGGATGTCTCTGTCTCAGGCTACATTGAGAACAGAGAACCTGTTAGGGGTGGGAACACTGAACTCAGAAGAATCAGGAAGAATTAGAAAGTCATTGATTCTACTTTGCTTGGAGTTCTGGGTGAGCACAGACTCAGTCCATTCTCTTGATCGCTTATGTGCCCCCATGGCTTTGTCGCCCAGTAAAAAAGAAAGTCCAAAATAGTTCGAGGTGAGCTGAGTGCAGATGAATCAGTTTACTGTCACTCAAGACGTTAATTCTCGAAGCAGACAGCAAATTTCACTCACTCTCAAGATCCTTACAAGAAATTTTGGCCATGTTCCAAATCCCTTCTGCACTCTTCAAAAGTCCACAGTATGGTGCTTCAAACAGCTGCAAACGGCAGATGGCTCCACACTGGCAGATGACTCGGCACTCTTTGCAGAAGGGTCCTTCCAGAGGATGGCTAGCTGCTGATGCAATAACTCTGGTGTCGCTAAATAAACCCAGAGGATGGAAATTCCTCTGGATTGTACCAGATATCCAAATCCAGGTTTCAGGAAGAACTAAAGGAGGAACCAGGACTCTTTCCTACAGAGATCATATTTAAAGGATGGATATTGCCCAATGATGTGCTGCATAAGCTATTTTGGACCTCAGGCAGGCAGTGGCTGCCACCTTCCTGAGAATAAGCCCCGTTGCATAACATGGGACCTCAGTAGACCTGCTTTGTGTTCCCAAAGAAGTTATTAATCTACTGTGAAGCTAAGTAGTAAATTAATTTATATTCCACATTTCTGCCCAAGGGGCATACAAAATATCTTCTACATTTCATCACAGCATCCCAGTGAAGTACATTAGGCTGAGTGTGTGCGACTGGCCCAAAATTACCCAGCAAGTTTCCATAGCAGATTGGGGATTCAAACCTGGGTCTCCTGATCTCCTAATGACTACATCGTACTGGCTTTCAGTAAAGAATTAGTTTCTCAACTGCATCAATTGCAGCAGCTGGAAAAAGAAGCTACTCCAAAAACAGATTTCAACATTGTTATGTTACATTGGGCACACATGGGTATGAACTAAAAACTAGCAAAATGACCAGGATATCAGGAAATACAAATGTAGCCATAGATGGGCTACAGCTGCAAGTGTTGGTCACTTGTGTATGCCCATATCCATGTTTGATCATTTATTTTAATGCCTTTTGAAATACCTTTGCTATTTTCCTTAAAGTGAGTTGTGATGACTTGCTAGGCATACAAGAAGACAACAAATGAGTGTGGCGCTTGGTAAAATGGCTGCTACTGCCACTGTGGCACAAATGATTCACTGAATCAGGAGAAACCAGCCATACTGGCACAGTAGCTTAATTCCTAGGGGAGAGGATCAGTTGGGGAGACTTTGTCCAAAGAGAAAGATCCCCCAAATTGCCTCCCTCCCTCTTGCTTTCTGAAAGTATCTCTCCCACTCACTTCAGGAAAAATGTTTCATGAAGAGAAAGAAGATCAATAGACTTTCAGAGATACGGCCTTTTATTAAGAAAAACCTTAGGTAATCAAAAGACCAGGACTTTGACCTGGATGGTCCAAGCTAGCCCAGTCTGGTCAGATTTCAGAAGCTAAGCAGGAGAGGTCCTGGTTAGTACTTGGATGGGAAACCATCAAGGAATTTCAGGGTTGCTATGCAGAGGCAGGCAATAGCTAACCACCTCTGAACATTTCTTGCCTTGAAAACCCTAAGGGGCCTCCATAAATCACCTGAGACTTGATAGCACTTTCCACCACCGATCATAAGACGGATAGGACTTTCCATCACAAATTAAGCTTGCATTGGTCCAACCTTACTTGAACGTGTGAGTCAGACGAGTGGTCTGTCAAGGTCTGCAAAGGTCTGTACTGTCTACCCTGACTAGCAGTGTGAGGGTACAGTCTTTGAGAATGTATGGGGAAAAACTGTACTCAGTGAAAGTAAAAAAAAAACCTAACTGAACAACTGAAACAAATTGCTTTAATAGTAATAAGTAACTTAATGAAACCAAATAAAGTTTATTTTAAACCAAACTATAGATGATTTCCTGCATGTACACATCCCCAATAATGAGACACATACATATTTGATTTCAATATAAAACGTAGTACCAGGAGTCTAAACAACACTTACTTTGCAGGATCTCAGAAGCAGAATACTTGTTACCTCAGGGGTATAATAACCATCAAAAACAGAATAGTCAGTTGGAGAAAGTTTTTTTGTGGTCTTCAATTTGCCTTTGTAGTTTGCGCTGTAAAAGTCACTGTCATACCTTGCAAAGCTGAAGATCCCCATTCCTGAACAAAAGGAAAAGGAAATCAAAGTAGAACCGCACAAGCACCAATGACAGAGCAGTAGCAAAACTTGTTAAATCTACCCTTTCTAGAAAGTTAGAAACGAGTTTGCATCACTGCTGCCTATCCCTGACTAGGCAGCATGTAAGCACTCACCCCTAGAAGGAGGAGATTGGATTTATACCCCGCCCTTCACTATCCAAAGGTGTCTCAGAGCAGCTTACAAACTCCTTCCCCTTCCTCTCCCCACAACAGACACCCTATGAGGTAGGTGGGGCTGAGAGAGGTCTGACAGAAACTGCTCTTTTTCAAGAACAGCTGTTCCAGAACTATGGCTTGCCCAAGGTCATCCAGCCAGGTGCAAGTGGAGGAGTGGGGAATCAAACCCGGTTCTCCCAGATTAGAGTCCGCGCACTTAACCACTACACCAAACTGGCCCTAGCCTCACCCCTACTAAAGCTTGTCCAGCCAACCAAGTGATCCTGGTGCTCCCTAACTCTCCAGAAGCAGCTGTAGCTGCACAGCAGCTGGATCTAAATAAATTCTGGTCTGACTGGAAATGTGTGTTGTGGCTAAGTGTCACACTTTTGGGGCTGTGGAGAAGCTTTAGGGGATTATGAAGGCACTGTACTGAGATCATGTGGGAAAAGGAGTACAGCCTGAGTAAAGAGGGCCAAATCCATGAGGGCCAAACTCTTATAGACTTCCATGGGGCCTTCAATATGATCACAGATTCTAAAATGTCCCACCTGCTCTATTTAATCTGTCCAGTCTTAGAACAGGAGTGAATACTAAGTGTAAATATTGTTGAACTTTCTATAGAAAAACTCAGCCTTTCTAGCCATTGTTCCACACTAACTAATATTAATTAAAATCCACTGATATACCTGTTTTGCATGTATGTGACTAGTTCCAGTGTCTTGGAGTGTGTCAGTCAACAGTACATGACTGGTTCAAGAGAAGAACTAGTCATGCACTGTTGACCAACACACTTCAAGGCAGCAAGGAATAAAAGTCAATTTTATAAGAGTCTTATATTAAATGTTGTTGTTTGTAGTCATTTAGCTGTGCACAAGCTGTCCTTATGGCACAGAGTGCAAAGAACCATTGCCTGATTTCTAAGGCTCCTATTTCAAGCACTCAAGTGCCTGACAATTAATTCCCGTCTATGAACATGGGGGGGGGGGTGGACTGACTGCAAAATGCACATTTCTTTCTAAGTCACTTCATCAGGTTGTTATTCAGGTGGGTAGCCATGTTGGTCTGAAGCAACAGAACAAAGTTTGAGTCCAATGGCACCTTTAAGACCAACGGTGAAGAAGTGTGCATGCACTAAAGCTTATACCCAGAATTAAACTTCGTTGGTCTTACAGGTGCCACTAGACTCATCACATTGTTGTGATGATAAAATACGTACACACTGCCCTGAACTCCTGGGAGAAACCACAGGATAAAAATATGAAAACTAAATTGTGATGCATAATTAATTATATTGTGTAATTCATTATTTGGAACCCTTGTTTATTGGCAAAAACCAAATTTACAGCACCCAAATTTGGACATCACAACAAGCACCAGTTATGTTGTCAAAGGCTTTCCTGGCCTTTGGTTTGGTGTAGTGGTTAAGTGTGCGGACTCTAATCTGGGAGAACTGGGGTTGATTCCCCACTCCTCCACTTGTACCTGGCTGGATGACCTTGGGCAAGCCATAGTTCTGATAAGAGCTGTTCTTGAAAAGAGCAGTTTCTGTCAAGAGCTCTCTCAGCCCCACCTACCTCACAGGGTGTCTGTTGTGGGGAGGGGAAGGGAAAGGAGTTTGTAAGACGCTCTGAGACACCTTTGGGTAGTGAAGGGCGGGATATAAATCCAATCTCTTCTTCTTCTTCTTCTTCTTAGTTGTTGTAGATTTTCTGGGCTGTATGGCTGTGGTCTTGGCATTGTAGTACCTGACGTTTTGCCAGCAGCTGTGACTGGCATCCTAACACAGGAAGATGGAGTACTCTCTGTGTCAGTGTGAGAAGAAAAATGGTAGGCAGGTAATTTATATCTACTCAGGAAGGTGGGGAAGGGCTAAGTCATTGTCTTGTAGGAGTTTCCCAGGCTGTGATATGCTAACGGAGGAGCTTTCCTGAGGAGGTTCTTTTGCATATGGATTGGCTGTTGAAATTCTAATCTTATCTGTAGTGCTGTTGTAAAATATAGAACATTTTGTGTTTTTCAGGACTGGGAACCATGCCCTATTTATTTTTAAACTCTCTTCTTTCCTGTTGAAATTGTGTTTATGTTTATGAATTTCAATGGCTTCCTTGTGTAATCTGACATGGTAATTGGATGTGTTGTCCAGCATTTCAATGTCTTGGAATAAGATACTGTGTCTTGTTCGAGTAAGGCTATGTTCAGCCACTGCTGATTTTTCAGGATAGCCAAGTCTGCAGTGTCTTTCATGTTCTTTTATTCTTGTCTGGATGCTACATTGTGTAGTCCCAATGTAAACCTGTCCACAACTGCAGGTTATGTGGCATACTCCTGCAGAAGTGAGGGGGTCTCTTCTGTCTTTTGCCAATCATAATGTCGTATTTTTCTGGTGGGTCTGAATACTGTTTGTAGGTTGTGTTTTTTCATAAGTTTCCCCATCTGATCAGTGATTCCTTTGATATATGGCAAAAACACTTTTCCTGTGGGAGACTGTTTTTCCTCAGTTGTTTGTTTTACCTTTGGTTTAATTGCTCTTCTGATTTCATTTTTTTGAGTAGCCATTTGCTTGAAGTGCATGATTTAGATGTTTTAGTTCATCATTGAGAAAATGTGGTTCACATATCTGTCTTGCACGGTCTACTGAAGTTTTGGTTATGTCCCTTTTTTGTCGAGGGTGGTGATTGGAGTTTTTGTGTAATTAACGGTCCGTGTCAGTTGGTTTTCTGTAGGCCTTGTGACCTAATTGAAGGTTAGTTTTGCGGATGACCATGATATCTAGGTATCTAGAAAGGGGAGTTTACCCTTGATTTCTTTTTCCATGGTGGATTGTATGTTCAGGTGGATGTTGTTGAGGTGGTCTAAAAATTCCATCAATTCTACCTCTCCATGGCTCCAAATGATAAAGGTATCATCTATGTACCGGAACCAGACTGTAGATTTGTGGGGTGCAGATTCTAAAGCTGTTTTTTCAAAATGTTCCACTTAGAAGTTTGCTATAACCAGGCTGAGAGGGCTTCCCATGGTAACCCCATCCATCTGTTCATAGAATTCGTTTTTCTATTGGAAGTAACTGGTTGTCAAACAATGGTGGAATAAGGCTGTTATGTCCTCCGGAAAAATCTGATTAACAAGTGCAAGTGTGTCTTTTATCAGAACCTTGGTAAAAAGCACTAGTTAGTTTGCCCATTTCCTACTTTAAGAACTCTTCAATCTCTGCATTGTTCGTGAGGACAGAGGAAATGCATGAACCTTTATTTGTACTGTAAATAAAGTATAATTTGTAAAGTCTAAATGTAGCCCTAGAAAGCCCTAGGTCTATGATGTCTACATTATAGAACTACTTCAAACATGTGCTATTACTGACCCCTTGTGGTCAATAGTAGCTCTCATAGTAAAGATCTTGAGAACACAAAACTCTGCACCTTTCCTGCACTGTTGCATTAAGTAGACAGAACCCACCTGAAGATCTTCATGGCCAAATTCACATTATTGCATAATTTTGCTGCAACAGACTAACACCTTGCCAGCCTAATACTCTTTGCTTCTGCCTTCACAGTACAAATAACAGAGGTACTTATCAGTGATTTGAACACTGATTCATTTGTCTGTTTTGCTTCTCCCTCCAACATGCTTCAGTCAAATAGTCTACTTTTTTAAAAAAGAGGAAGGAAAGCATTACTTATGAACAACCTTACACAAAATATATCTATGCTTCAAAATGCTCATATTTTTTAAAGCAGTGCTTTTATTTAAGTGCCTTAATATTAAGGCTGAAAAATTGTTCTAGTATTTATAATATTTATCAATCGCATTTATACCCCGCCCTCCCCGCAATGCAGGCTCAGGGCGGCTCACAGTCAGTACATAAAATACAGTTAAAACCACATAAAACCATATAAAAATTCAATTATTAATACAGTTTCATAAAGTGCAGAAGATTGTTACTCAAGATGGCTTATTTCAATATACTCTCTAAAGACCCTTCTGCTCCATATCTTCCTGCGGCTGGATGTTAAAACCAAGAGCCAGGGCTCTATAATGGTGCTGGCACCCTAGCTGAAAGCCTGGCGGAAGAGCTCGGTCTTGCAGGCACTGCAAAACTGCAAGAGATCCTGCAGGGCTCTGATCTCCTCCAGGAGCTCATTCCACCAGGACAAGGCTGCCACCGAGAAAGCCCTGGCCCTGGTAGTCGCCAGCCTGGCCTCTTTTGGGCCAGGGAGGGTCAATCGATTTTGAGACCCCGACCAAAGTGCTCTCTGGGGTATATATGGGGAAAGGCGGTCCCGCAGGTATGCTGGACCCTGCCCATATAGAGCTTTAAAGGTAAGAACCAGCACCTTGAAGCGGATTCGCTTTGCTATTGGCAGCCAGTACAGTTGCAGCAGCACAGGCTAGATGTGCTCCTTCTTGGGGAGACCCATCAAAAGCCTGGCTGCAGCATTCTGCACTAGCTGCAGCTTCCAGATCTGTGACAAGGGCAGCCCCATGTAGAGAGTGTTAAAGTAGTCTAGTCTCAAGGTTACCATAGCATGGATCACTGTTGCTAGGTCGGCGCGGTCGAGGAAGGGAACCAACTGCCTGATCAGCCGAAGATTGTCAAAGGCCGACCTGGCAGTGGCCGCTACCTGGGCCTCCATCGTTAGGGAGGCATCCAGGAGCACTCCCAAACTCCTAACCTCCGGCACTGGCACCAATGGCGCCCCGTAGAAGGTCAGGAGTGGGTACTCCA